CGCCACCATGCCCAGCTAATTTTTTGTAGTTTTAGTAGAGACGGGGTTTCACCGTGTTGACCAGGATGGTCTCGATCTCTTGACCTCGTGATCCACCCGCCTCGGCCTCCCAAAGTGCTGGGATTACAGGCTTGAGCCACCGCGCCCGGCCTCAGACAAAAATCTTTGTCTTCAGAGAGTATAGAGTAAAGATAATAAACATAATACATACGAAAACAGAATGGTAGATTAACAAGTAATAGATGCTATAGAAGAAAATAAAGCCAGGTGACGGCTGGGGAGTCAGTACACAGTAAATATTTAAAGCATTAAAATTTGCATTGAAAAATTTCAAGATATTAACAAGGGAATGTGTATGAAACATTTGCTGTGCACAAAGCGTTTGCCTGTTGTCCATTGTTGCAGGAAGTGTGGCGAGAGAGGAAATGGAAGGTGCAGGTCGTACTCTTGGAGGTACCTGCACCCAGGTGCTGCTTTCCTCCTCTAATTCCACTGGGGTTTACTGTAAATCCAGCAGTTCCGTACATTGTCCATGCAGCCGTCTTTCAGTTCCTGTTGTGAAATCAACTACTCACATGACCACCAGTGTAGAAATTCCCATTCTGCCCAGCTTTTCTATGTCATCTTCATATTTCAGATAAGAGAGAGAGAACCATCCTTAGACCCATGAATAACATGGAACATGGAAGTCTACACCCTCTTAGGGACCTTAGAGATGGTTGAGTGCAGGGTTTTTCTTTGGCTGATGAAGACATGGAACTAAGGAATTTTGGTGATTGAACTCAGACCATACCATCATTGGTGCAGGAGACAGAAAGGGAGGACTTTGTTCCAGGGCTCACACCATGTCAGCACATAGTCGGGGCCTTCCCAGTGTTGGTGACTGAACACCCATTGTGTCTCTGCTGCAGGTGGTCAACCGAGGTGACCCGTATCCTCAGGAGGTGAGCGCCACTGTCCAAAAAGTCATGGAAAGGCTGGGGTACTGCAACCCCTTCCGACTCGTGTGGCAATCCAAGGTGGGTGGCTTCCACACTTCTGCGGGCAGCCAGCTCTTTTGGTAAAGTTTATTTTATGAGTTAGTTATGAAATGGTCGGTTTGGCTCTTCCACATAGACAGGCTGCTCCACAACCTGATTCTTCACCATGGGCAGAAAGAACTCTGCAAGCGAGTAAGATAGAAGGGGAAATCAAGTGACTCGCGGAGTTCCGTTGGTTTAATATTTTACTTTTAGCTGCAATGACAGAAACTGTTACTTATTATATTGAGGCAACTTCTAGGATTCAAGCTTCCATGTGAAAATATCAAACCTATTCAAGCAGGTGTAAAGAGTGGCTTTTGCCCCCGTGGGCAGTGTGTGTGCCTAGGATGGCAAAGGGAGATACTACAGACCATCAGGAGGAATGGTCCCTTACGCTTTCATCTTCCTTTCGCATAGGTTGGTCCGATGCCCTGGTTGGGTCCTCAAACAGATGAATCTATCAAAGGACTCTGTGAGAGGGGGAGGAAGAATATCCTCTTGGTTCCGATAGCGTTTACCAGTGACCACATTGAAACACTGTATGAGCTGGACATTGAGTACTCTCAAGTTTTAGCCAAGGAGGTAAATGCACCTATCTGCCTTAATCCCATCATGACTTGTTTTAAAAGGAAACTTTCTCTGCAACTAACTGATGTATCATTCAGAAATATTGTTTACTATATTTGTTTGCATGTACGGTGTCCTCATTCTCCTGAACAATAACATCATCTGAGTAATAATCTCAACACATTGAGTTAATTTCATGTCAGCAGTGGGAGAGGAAACCTGTATGTTAATTGAACCGGGTGACCCAGGGATCACTGTGGCTGACATTTTGCTTAGTTTAAGTTACTGGACTCCTTGAAAGTAATAATAACTACACTTGTTTAAGAAAAAAGAATTATACTTCTCACTAATTCCAAAGGAAAATGGTTTATTGTTTTATAATTTCTTTTCTTTGCCTAATATTAACCTTTACTCAGGGCTGTTACATGGCTTCTTGTTGAGTGTCAAGGCATACAGGAGTCATTGTAATTTAAGAGAAGAGCATGAAGTGAATGTGGAATCAATGTGTGTTGTGATTTCCTTGACTTCCTTTATGCACTCATTTATTTAGCTATTTGCTGCCGGGTCGTGATCAATCCGATTATTGAAATAACAAATGCCATCTTTGGCTGGGCACCGTGGCTCACGCCTGTTATCCCAGCAATTTGGGAGGCCAAGGCAGGCGGATCATGAGGTCAAGAGATAGAGACCATCTTGGTCAACATGGTGAAACCCCGTCTCTACTAAAAATACAAAAATTAGCTGGGTGTGATGGTGTGTACCTGTAGTCCCAGCTACTCGGGGGAGGCTGAGTCAGGAGAATCGCCTGAACCCAGGAAGCTGAGGTTGCAGTGAGCTGAGATTGCGCCAACACATCCAAGTCTGGCAACAGAGCAAGACTCCATCTAAAAAAAAAAAAAAAAAAAACATCTTTGGTGTCTAGTAATATGAGATGGATGTGAATTGTCATTCAGGGTGGAGAAAAACTATTTGTTCATCTATGTCCTGGCTTCTGAGAGCTGGCCTAAAACCTGTGTCCAATATATAGCTTCATTTTTATGGGGAGTAAGGAAGCGTTAGTATCCAAGAAACCCTTTCCTTTCTCTCTGCCAGAGTTTCTGGCCCTGGTCACCCCGTGTGTGATAGATGGAGGCCCAGCCTGCAGGAGACTTCACCCTGTCTGGGATTGGGCAGCAGGTGCAGGGCAGGGCAGAGAGTGGGTGGGGGCAGAACTTGAGCAAACACCCGGCCCCTGTGGATTTTGAATTTCCATGCTGGACATCAATCAGACATGGGTGAAGCTAGGGAGCACCTAAGTTTCTTGTCAGTGGTTCTGATAAAGGATTTGCAGGCAAGTTGTAATTGGCTAAGAAGTGGTTGCAGCATTGTCTATGGATTTCATTTAAAGATGCCTTCTGTAGCTCACCATGAGTTTGGCTAATTGTGAACTTGCTAAAACTTCAGTGAAAATATAGTTTAATACCAATATGTTTGGAAAACAATTTTTTTATTTTAACTTTTTTGTGATTTTATAAATTTGTTTAGAGATGAAATCTGGCTCTGTCAACCAGGCTGGAGTGCAGTGGCACAGTCATGGCTCCCTGCAGCCTCAAAATCCTGGGCTCAGGCAATCCTCTCTCTTCGGCTACCTGAGTAGCTGGGACTACAGGTGCACATGGAATTTCAGTGTTGCTACATATTTTTCTAGTCAGTGTATCGCTGACTCTCCCACCAACATTGTTGGAGAATGCCCTTTGCCAACATTGGTTATTCAGTTGTAACTGACTTTTAGATGAAGTTTGAGAATACAGCCTCTTAAGTTGAGATCCATGTGTTTGTTGAATCTCAATGTTTTTCTCATGCCAATCTCCTGATGTAAATGCTAATCTAAAAGATCAAGTAACTGAATCCAGTGTGGTGGCTCACACACGTAATCTCAGCATTTCGGGAGGCCGAAGCGGGTGGATCACCTGAGGCCAGGAGTTTGAAACCAGCCTGGCCAACATGGCAAAACCCCATCTCTACTAAAATACAAAATTTAGCCAAGCATGGTGGCGTGTGCCTGTAATCCCAGCTACTCGAGAGGCTGAGACAGGAGAATCACTTGAATTTGGGAAGCGGAGGCTGTGGCGAGCTGAGATTGTGCCAGAGCAACAGATCGAGACTCCATCTCAATAAATAAATAAATAAATAACAAATGACCAAGTACTGAAAAGCTACCAGAAGAAAAGGGAAATAGACGAATCCTAACTATCTGAGTAAATCATTATTAGACCAATTTCAGTTATTAGGCAGTGAATATTTTTGGAACTGGGAATAGGGATGGTACTGAAACAATCCTCCCATGTTTTCCTTTAGCTTTTTCTCCATAAGAATATATTTTAGGCCAGACTTGGTAGCTCACACCTGTAATCCCAGCACTTTGGGAGGCTGAGGCGGGTGGATCATTTGAGGTCAGGAGTTCTTGACCAGCCTGGCCAACATGGTGAAACCCTGCCTCTACCAAAAATACAAAAACTAGCTGTGCGTGGTGGTGGGTGCCTGTAATCCCAGCTACTCAGGAGGCTGAGGCAGGACGATCCCTTGAACCCAGGAGGTGGAGGTTGCAGTGAGCAGAGACAGTGCCACTGCACTCCGGCCTGGGCGACAGAGCAAGACTCCATCTCAAAAAAAAAAAAAAAAAAAAAGGAATATATTTTAAAACCCAACTCTGAATTGGGTCCAATGTACATTTTATAGTCAATAAGTTAATTTACTTCATCTTCATGCTTGGGATCAAAACAAATATGAAATTATATTTAAAGTAACATTGTACTTAGGGAGAGTCTGTAAAATTATGCATTAGAAAATAGAATTAAAAAAGAATGGTAAGCAGATTTCAATGGAGAATTTTATCAAGTGTAACCACAAAAAGGATTCAAAAACAAATCACCTGTGGGAAGATAACAGGAAGGGGAAGGACATAGGAATTGAGGAATAATTTATGATAACAGAATCAACGTACAGCCCTGTCCCATGACTGTTTTTCATTCATGAGCAAGTCTGAGAACACTTGAATTCAGACTTTGAATTGTGTGTGTGTGTGTCTGTGTGTATTTTTTTTTTTTGTGGCAGTTTCTTTGAAAAAAAAAAAAAGGAAAATAAAACATGTCTGTGTTTTTCCTCCCTTTTCTCATTTGATTCAGTGTGGAGTTGAAAACATCAGAAGAGCAGAGTCTCTTAATGGAAATCCATTGTTCTCTAAGGTATCTACAGTGTTACAACCATTTTAGTAGAACATACCAGAGAGTAATCCTCTGAGAAACTCTTGCAGAATATTGGTTTTTCTCACATATTAGAACATTTGGAGTTCCAATTAATTAGAAAAATAAAATCGAATTTTATCCTTATCTGCTCAGTCTTCCTTCAGATAGCCCCAATTTTCTGATTCCTACCCACCTACTTTCAAACCTGCTTTCCAGAGAAAAGATCTAGTGGGTGGGGTAAGAGGATTTCATTTCCTGAAATCTCTGTTTTAACTTTCTCTAAGCTGAGGATTCTCAGGAAAGGAAGATATTGTAGAATTTGATCCAAAATGCTCACTGCTGAGATGAAAAGAAACCTCAAGCCAGAGCGCTGACCTGGGCAGATGGAGGAGGGGGAAATGGCAGATGAGCAGGCCCTGTGCTTCTGATGCCTCTTTGCCTCTTGTCTGTCTTCCAGGCCCTGGCCGACTTGGTGCATTCACACATCCAGTCAAACGAGCTGTGCTCCAAGCAGCTGACGCTGAGCTGTCCGCTCTGTGTCAATCCTGTCTGCAGGGAGACTAAATCCTTCTTCACCAACCAGCAGCTGTGACCCCCGCTGGTGGACCCTGTGGCATTAGGCAAATGCCCAACCTCTAGATACCCCCGACGTGGAGAGGATGTTGTTTAGAGATCAAGGAAGGAAGTCACCCTTCCTTGATATATATACAGCCTTTGAGCACAAGCTGCGAAATTTCTTGAGAATTGGACTCTGTTGATAGATTTCTATTTTTATATAACTATACAGTAAGCATTTATATTTTCTCTCTCTAGGTATAAGTTACTAGTTTGGAATGTCCACTAGGACCTTTATTAAGTAAGTTAAAAATTTATCTTATGAGACACACCTATTTTAAATACAGATTTTGGGTTTATTGCCCCAAACCCTCCTGAAAGGGTACAGAGAGCCCCCTTTGTGGGCTGTCAGTGTGAATGAGATCTGTTTACAGTCTTGTGCATATAGTTGCTGTTTTTTAAATGAACATAGTTGAGTGTTTGAAATGAATTTGAAAAAGAAATGTTACCTAACTTTTCCCTAATCCCATGGGTTACAGAAAGCTAGGGGGGCAATGTGGTTACCTGCAATGGCTGCGTTCGCCAGCGAGGCCACCATTCATTGGTCATCTTGGTATTTGTGTGTGAATCTTACTTTCCTCGATGTAAAAAGGAATCAAGTATGCATTTCAGAAGTGCTCTGAGAGTCCCCGTATATCCAAGACTAATAAATGTGTAGAAGTACAGTGTCTGTCATATGTGCCTTGGTGGGAGTCCAGGGTGCCACAGGGAAGGGGCTCCCACTGCTTCCGATGTCCAGGGACAGTGCTGCTGGAAAGGCCAACGATGAGCTTCCCCCTGGAGCTCCTCCCGGGACCTTGCGAGCCTTTCCACCTGGCGGCTTCTCTATCTTAGTCGAATGCCTTCTTTCTGCACATTTGTTTTAAGAATTCTTTTATAAAGTCAACAGTGCTTTGTAACCTTGAATTCTTCCTTAATTTATGATTTTTTATTGTAAAAATTATATAGCCATACAGTGGGACATGTAAAGAATATGGAAAAGTAACCACTTTAATGTGATAACTATTATCATAATATTGTATTTCATGCCAGTCCTTTCCTGTAGATATTTTTAATGCCATTGCAACCTTGGATTTGTGAGTGAAAAGTGTTTCTAAAAATACAGAAATAAATGTCAGATCAGAATCTGATCTTATATGTTTGTATTTAATGGATTAAAAGATTCCTGGTGGTTCTATGAAGAATTTGTAATGATCACTTCCTCTTTCCTCCAAGCCCTGAAACTTTGTTCTTCAAAAGAGCATTTCTTTGATTTTTTTTTTATAAAGCAAGTTTATAAAGTAGAAGTATTAGGCTATTCATAAATCTTTTATATTGAGAATTGGCTATGTTAATAAATATTACAACATCATTAATGTTTTAACTAAATTTGATTCATGCTGTCTGTTAAATCAAAACTGATCTAAATTAACCAAAATTATTAAATGTGAGGAACTTTTTTAATACAGTGAAAGAAGCCTGGCGTCCACTGGAGTTAATAGTTTTCCTGCATCGATGACAGCCCTCATGAGTAGCATCTACATTTTAAAATTTCCAGTTGGCTTTTCTGTTAGTTGATTGGGTTTCTAGAGAAATATACAAAGCATAGGCAATTGTTTAGGATTTTCCTCTAGCCTTTTCCATCACCTTCTTGGGGGTTAGGGTCATAGCAGACTTTGAGTGACCATCCCACCATGAAGTGAATTCTCTGGGTTAGTGGTCTGGTGCTAGAAGGCAGGTTATTTTTGGAGCCACTCTCACTCCTTTAGGAAACTTTCCAAGGGTCTGCTTCAATTCTTCAATGACTTTAAAGGTGAAACAGTATTTTTATGGAGATGATGCAGAAAACTCCAATTCAGGAGCCCCGGCAAATATATCGGAAGCACTTATTTGCTAAGGAACTTCTGAATTGAGAATACTGGGCTGTCTGGAATAATATCCTTGATACTGAGCTGGGACCAGACCAGCTTTTATAGTGACAGACAAAGAGGGATTTATTGAGACCGCAGTCTGTGGCATTTGTTGCTCTCAGCAGTGTTCCCTTTGATTGTTAGTAACCATGGATGGGTAATGGTCATACGCTAGGCTAGTGTTTAATTGGACAAAATATTTTTTGAGCTTTGAGAACTGTCATCCTGTTGGTCAACTTTGAAATACAAATGTTTGCCTTGGTAATCAGCAATGAACTGCTGGCAGTTTCTTCAAGCTGTGTCTGCACAGATCTGACTTTTAATTGATGAATCAACTTCTACAGAAACTTTGCAGGGACAGTGTTGATGAGGCAGTTTAGCTTGCCAGGGTGATGGTAAGGCCCAGGCCTCTGCATGTATAGTGCTCTTCTAAAGAGTATGCATTCTTAAACTGCTTAACTTTTTAAAAATCAGTATAAATTTTTGCACTCAAAATTTGCTTCACATCAGGAGAAATGAACTCATTGTGGTTTAGGTTTGTTGTGTTTTTTTTTTTTGATGGAATCTTGATATGTCACCCAGGCTGGAGTGCAGTGGTGCAATCTCAGCTCACTGCTACCTGCACCTCCTGGGCTTAAATGATTCTCCCACCTCAGCCTCTCAAGTGCTGGGACTACAGGAGTGTATCTTCATGCCTGGCTACTTTTTTGTATTTTTTTGTAGAGATGGGGTTTTGCCATGTTGTCCAGGCTGGTCTTGAACTCATGGGCTCAAGGGATCCTCCTGCCTCAGTCTCCTAAAGTGTGCAGATTACAGGGATAAGCCTCTGCACTTGGCCCTGAACTCATTATTAAAAGCCCTTTAAATGTGAGGCTGCCTGCAGTGCCTTACATGTGTAATCCCAATACTTTGGGTGGCTGAGATTGGAGGATTGCTTGAATCTAGGAGTTCAAGACCAGCCTGGGTAACTTAGAGAGACCCTGACTCTACAAAAACAAAGTAAAAATTGGCTGGGTGTTGTGGCATGTGCCTGTAGTTCCAGCTACTTGGGAGGCTGAGGTGGTAGGATTGCTTGAGCCCAGCAGTTTGAGGTGCAGTGAGGTGTGATTGCACCCCTACACTCCAGCCTGGGAAGACCCTGGCCCCAAATTAAAAAAAAAGAAAAAAGAAATACTGGAGATTGGGTCATTTATAAAGGAAAAAGGTTTAATTGATTTGGTTCGGCATGTCTGGGGAGGCCTCAGGAAATTTACAATCATAGCAGAAGGGGAAGCAGTCATGTCTTACATGGCAGTGGGTGAGAGCAAGCAAAGTGGGGAAGAGCCCCTTATAAAACCTCAGATCTTGTGAGAACTCACTATCACATGAACAGCATAGGGGGAACTGTCTCCATGTTCCAATCCCCTCCTAGCAGTCCCTCTTCCAACATGTAGAGATTATGGGAATTACAATTTGAGATGAGATTTGGGTGGGGACACAGAACCAATCACAAATCATTCGACCCCTGCCCTTCCCAAATCTCACATCCTTTTCACATTTCAAAACCAATCATGCCTTCTCGACAGTCCCCCAAAGTCTTAACTCATTCCACCATTAACCCAAAAGTCCCCCAAAGTCTTAACTCATTTCACCATTAACCCAAAAGTCCCCCAAAGTCTTAACTCATTCCACATTAACCCAAAGGTCCAAGTCCAAAGTCTCATCTGAGACAAGGCAAATCCCTTCTGCCTGTGAACCTGTAAAATTAAAAGCAAGTTAGTTACTTCCAAGATACAATGAGAATACAGACATTGGGTAAATGTTCCCATTCCAAATGGGAGAAATTGACCAAAACACAGGTGCTACAGGCCCTATGCACCATTGCACTCCCCTGTGCAAGTCTGAAACCCAGCAGGGCACTCATTAAATCTTAAATCTCCAGAATAATCTCCTTTGACTCCATGTCCCACATCCAGGTCATGCTGATGCAAGAGGTAAGCTACTCTTTCTTATAAACTGGGTACTTAATTCGAGAAACTATAACTTAATGCATGTAAAAGAGATCCTTTGCTCAATCTGAAGCCATTGTGTTTATCCAAGGTATATTCTTACAAAGGGTGAGAGATTAGGCTGCAGCCTTACCCCAGGTGGAGTGAGCAGCAAGACCTGCCCATGCTCAGAGTGTAGATGACCGAGGCACTTGCATTCCTGGGGGCTCTGCTTGCTATGTGAGCTCCTCTCGATGCAGCAAATGACCACCTCACACAGTGACAGTTGGGGGACAGAATTTAAAGCTGGCAGCCGTAAGAAAGCGAATGTCTGCATGTGTGCCCGGGGCACGTGAAGGCGCAGGTGCATCAGCCAGGAGCCTCTGATTCACCTCTAACCTTCTCCCCTCACCAGAAACACCTTCTGCCAGAATCCTGAAAGTGGCCCAGGAACATGGCTCCCGATGTTAGGTGGAAATGGGAAATTCGTTGAGATGTCACAAGCTGGAATAAGAAAATTCTGAGCTCACCTGGAAACCAATGCCCTAAATTGAGACTATTCAGCTTCTCAGTTGTTAATAGCAAAATGGAGACTTGAACGTGCATAGATTTTGGTATCTGTGGGGGAACCTGGAAGAAATCCCCCGCCAATATAGAGAGACAACTGTATACAGTCCTTGAAAGTATTATTAACTATATTCACCATGCTGTATGTTACATGCCCAGAACATATTTATCCTGCATATCTAAAACTGATCATTTTACAAACCTTTTTTTTTTTTGCCAATTTTCTCCAGCTAGACACTTGTGCAATATGGCTATTATCTGACCTTTGCCTTAAAAGTTGTGCTTCTTTACCATATGCATGTATTTTAGAAAATATAAAGTGTGCAGAGCTATATAGCACTGAGCCAAGTGGTAAGTACCTGCGGGTGCTCCAGAGAAGTAAATTGATGCTGCTAATATTTGTTGAATGGCACGACTATGATGAGCGATAGCAGGTGGTGCCCTTCAGCCAGACCATCGCTCCGTTATGTGATGCATCTTGACAAAGAGTAGTTCTGGGAGGTGGTTGCCTCTAGAGAACACAGTCCTAATATTCTAGGGTCCCATGAGAGAAAGAAATGCTTTTGCTTTTGATGTGGGACTCTTATTAAGCCTTTCTTCAAGGAAAAGGAAGTGAAAAACAAATGCACCCCATGATAATCAGTTTCTTACAACATACTGTGATAACACCGGCTTAGTTGTTTTTAGCTGGAATCATTAGCTTCCATTTTTAGAATAACAGCTATTGGCTAAATTAGGCTACAGTAGGCCATTAAGATGGATGTTGGAATTAAAAACATTTTTGGAAAAAAGCCTGCTTTAAGCCTTTGTTATAAGCCCTTGGGCTGAGATCTGGGTCCTGTTTCTGATTTCTTGTGAGACTTCACTCTGACAGTTTTGTTTCCAGAAACACACTCTTAGCCAGTTCCTGAAATGGGAACAGACAGGCCAACTTCTCCGCTCCAGTCTCCCCTGTGGGTCAAAGCTTTACTTTCCTGTCATGTTAAGAGACAATAGATTTAATCCTGAGAATCCATGGAGTATTCTGTATTTTTACCTTTTCCTCGTTAAAAAAAAAGTGTATATATGGCGTGGAATTGATTGCATAAGCACGTGGCAGGTTTAATTGTGAACCAATTGTTAAAATTTCAAGTTAATGATCATGAAAATCATAACTTTCAAATTGTTATATTAAAAGCAAAGGTAACATTCAATATTCATCACTTTCTAATTATTTCACCCTGTGTTTTTTGCTGTTGATTAGACTTAAGAAAGTGATGGGAAGAATGTTAATAACACAATACTAAAGTTGTATCTGTGGCCATCACATTGTGAATAGCACAAATGCTTGAGGAAATAGTCTTCTGGTATTTGAAAACTATTATTCAATTTATCCAAGTGAAGTATTGACACACAAAGAAATTGTTTCATATTTGCATTGCTCATTAATGTAAACAAAATGTCAATATGTCTGAACTATACTTGTTGATTAATTGCAACCATGGGTTGGCTGCAGATACAAGAGCTTGGTAAAAATCAACAAAAGCATTCTCTGAGAATGAATTGGCTATATGGAATTTATAGGAAAGTGTATTGTGTATTTTATTATTTGTAAATTGTGTGTTCCACATCTTTTAGATCAGCAAACATACTCATGCATACACACATGCATAGATTTTTTTATAGGTTGCTGGTTAGTCACCATTTACCCGCACACTGCTGCCTAAAAGGGAACTTTCCTGGGATGATGGAAATGATATCTGTGGATTGCACACTTCTATTGTTCTCCACATTCATGACGTACAGAGACAGCTCTCTCTATAATCACTGCCTATTTGGAGTGAAAGCTACCCCACAGTGACTAGGGGTATTATTAGTCTTTTTAGTAGGATTCCATTTGTCTCCACCGAAAACGCATGGGCTGTAGTACTAACAGAATCCATGGAAAGTGATTCCCAATCAACAGTTGCAGCCAGAGGGCTAAAACGGACAAAAACTTTCCGAAGAAAAGTACATTTTGGTCGGGTGCGGTGGCTCATATCTATAATCCTAGCACTTTGGGAGGCTGAGGCGGGCAGATCATGAGGTCAGGAGTTTGAGACCAGCCTGACCAACATGGAGAAACCCTGTCTCTACTAAAAATACAAAAATTAGCTGGGCGTGGTGGTGGGCACCTGTAATCCCAGCTACTGGGGAAGCTGAGGCAGGAGAATCTCTTGAACCTGGTAGGCAGAAGTTGGAGCAAGTGGAGATTGCATAATTATACTCTAGCCTGGGCAACAGACTTTGCCTCAAAAAAAAAAAGTATGTTTTGTTCTACTTCTCATCTCATCTGGCCCTGGAAACTTGTCACAGGGGACGACCACACACAGCAGTGGGTAAGCACCCACTTCAGGGGAGCACGAATTGCTCATTCTCAAGTTTAGGCAGTGGGCAACAAAGTGGTCTCTTCCCATCCATTCCTCCAGGAGGGCTACACTTTACAGTGTCTGTGACTACACTGCAATGAGATGGAACCCTGTGTCCAGAGCTGTAGCGCTCCAGCTGAATCCTGAAGGCAGCCTACCTTTTCACTAACACCGGTGAGATCCTCTCACCAATGCGTCCCCATCATACCCTAGAGCTTTGGGTTGCATGGGTCCTATTTTTCCTGAAGCAAAGCAATCTTTTCCCAAAGCTACACTCTACAGACAAGCAGCTTCTTTTATTTGTATCTTTCTCCTGTCAATTGTATGACAAATGAAAAACTGTGTCAAATAGTTGAATTCTAACCCATTCGTACGCCTCAAAACTTGACACAAACAAAAAAAGACAGCTACTCTATGCAGCCACTTCACCTTTTGGTGTCCCCCAGACCTCTCCCTGGGCCTCTCTTTTGAACTCCTATTTCACTCTGTGTTTCTGCGATGCTTTCTTCTGTTTCCAGTTGTGGTGTTATCCTTTGCTGCAATCCCTTGATCCTCAGAAGCCAGGACGATCTTC